CAAATAACTATTGAATTGCGTAAGAAAATAAGGCGAATTTTAGTTCTGCTACATCATTATTTTCTATTATCATTTTTTTTTTTCAGGCGGCTATTTCATAATTCCCATAAACCATAAACGAGGCAAAAAGGAATCGCATGATCTCTGAACATCCTTGGTTTTAAATCTAAATACATATCATGGAATGATGATGATGACTACAACATCGTTACTCTTAATCTATTCCACCAACATTGAAACACGTCACAATAAATAACGAGTTTTGTTCTGGCAAAGTAGCTTTTGCTATTTTCGCTTTTATTGTTAGTTTTGTCCTTTACAACTGTGGTATCAAAGGTGATACAAAATCACAAAAATATAACACATAAATAGCGTGTCAACATAAATAAGAACTGCTTGAACATAAGTATCTTAACGTAACTGTGATAGTGTAGGTAAGAAAATAGGTGTCAGCACTTACATCTTGCACTAAAAGCAACATTATGTACTTTGGGGTTACATCTTGTATGGTTTTTTTCACAATCTCCATGTACGACTCAATCATTCCCGCTAGTTCATCCACCTGTCTCTGCATATGAGGGTCTTGGAAAATCTAAAATTTGAGCAATCAGTGAAGACAAAATTCAAATAAAACTGCTGAGATTAATGATTAGACGTTTCTTGATGCTTTTTTCAGGAGATTTATGAAACAAATACTATAATAAAACCAAACGAATGGCTTTGTAAATATTATATAACAAGACAATAGTTCCACAGCAAAGGAAATGGATTATTATACCAGTTTTTGATATAATTTAGTAATATTATAATCAAAGTTTAGCCTTGCATTTTATTTTGGTATTGTTGTTTTTGCTGAAGAAACACACTAACTGTTGCAAAACAGAGAAATAAAATAAAATGATAATTACTTATAATTGGCTTAGACTCGATCTGTGGGTCACTGGCTATTTGCTCCACATAATTAATGAGACAATATTTTAAGGGCTCAAGAAGAACCTATATTACAAACAATTGTTATTACAAAACAGAATAGGCTAATATGTAGCTGTTATTGATCAAAAAAAGAAGGTAATTCAGTAACATGAATTATAATCGCTGCGGCGAATTTTATATGATTTTATGACATGATTTCTATGCGACCTTTTCTCAATTCGTTTGAATGGATTTACTCAGTTTAGTTTCGAGGTTTGCTGAATATTGTAAAGTTAAAGTTAACCATGTGATAAACACTAAATTATATTGGACAGGTTTATTTATGAAAAATAAAATTAATTGTGAAAATTAAGTTAAAGTAAATGAACTGTTCCATTTTCTTTATGAAAACGAAAAACAGTAAATCTTTAATTTTACAAACCATATACTGCACCCTCTGTTTTACACCCAAAAAGTCTACGAAAAACAAACACTTTTATTTACGCTAAAAACCGTTCAAAACGCTATTGCTGGTAACAGACTTTTAACCATTAAAAATATACATCTATCAGAACCATCTTCTGTCTTAATCAAGACTCTTCCTCGAGGCTTAAAAATCTTAACCCTGTAGTTATAATAACACCTACATACAATACCAGTTATACATCAGCATTTTTCTCTACTTGTAAGAGCTTTCTCATTTCGAAAAACAAATGTCAAGATTTCAAGTATAGGTATTCATCAATTAGTTAAATTACTAAAAAAAAGTAATTTACAAATGAAGTGAATATCTTAAGATTTCATACCTGCTCCACCTTTTCTCTTCCCTTCTCTAAAATCATTCGCGTGGCTTGAGAAGTGTAAACATTTTTGGCTGAGATAGAATCCACCTGATACTACAGAAACAAACTTAAATTGGAATTAGATTTAATGTTTCAAGTTATTTTAAATAAAGACAGCTAAAAATTACCTTGAAGTTCCTTGTTTCACTTACTAACAACAAAGAGACAATGCGGAAAGGAAAAAAAAATAGCTTATAATTCAAAGCTAACGAAACAATATCTTAAACGTCCTTGAAAAAATTTTAAAGGGAACAAATTTAGCTCCAGATTACAAAAGAAATGCCGTAAAACCTCTTCAAAAATCGTAATCAGTTTTGGAATAAGGCGTGCTAAGAGTTGAAAAATGAAATATGACGCTGTAAACCGAACTGAGAGAAACTGCATGTATTTAAATAACCTCAACCTATAAAATTGTATTATAATTAAACACCCAAACCTATACGTGCACTATAAATGTTCTGAATGATAAATATTTTAAATTAGACATTATGTTATACTAACAAGTTGAAAATAATTTTATATAATGTTTTTTCGTAAATTTTCTCAAAAAATATAAAAGCAGAAAAAATTCGTACCAAAGATTCCATGGAGTAGCTCTTCGATAATGTAACAGGAACATTAGCTCGGTTAAAAGCATCTGTCCACTTTTCTAAATCAGCCATATCCGTGCAAACGAATTCTAATTGTTTTAAGTCTCGAAAAATCGACCTGGAAAATAAGGTGATTAGTTAGATGACAGAAACACACGATAGCCAAGTAAAAACAGGAAAAACCGTTTTACTTAATGCTCTATTTATTCAGTCAGTTACAAATTGCAACGTTAAGCGTCCCTTATGTGACGTCATTTAAGTGTCTACTGGCTGACTGACAGACAACACACTACTGTATTGTGATGCGAATGGTTAAAACAGGCGAGAGAAAGGAAACACTACAATAGAAGCACTTAACGCATGAAAAAATCTCGTTACTGCTGTGAAAGCCAATGTTTGTTTAAGAAAATATGGTAGCATTTTCACTGTAGCTAGGACAGTTTGTCAACTATTTCAGTTCTGATTTCAAAGACCAAGTTTATAAAGATCATCTGGATATGCTAATTTTGATGCTTAATGAAATAAGTCTTAAGAGCGTCTATTTAGTTTTGATAACATTTTGATGTAGCTATTCAGACAACAAACCAAAAACTAGGCTAATAATATAAGTAGCAAATAGTAAGATAGGCATAGTAAAATATGTCATGTGGTTTTTGTAAAGGCTCACTTCATTTTCATTCCGTCAATTTTATTGTCATACTCTCAGCAATATTAACAATACATTTCATCTATTCACACCAAGTAAACAAAGTGATATTTTAGTTATAACAATACTAAACATATCAATAAGTTATTGTTTAATCGTTTTGATTATTTACGAAGGTTTATTAAGAAATATCTCACCTCCCGTCTGCACGAAACAAAACAAACTTTTGCGGTTTAGAGTCATTCTTGTTCTTTGAATCGCTTTTACTTTTTTTCGGTTGCATCCTTAGTTCGGTAAATGGAATCATATTTCGTTTGTCGTTAGTCTAAAAATAATCCAACGATTTTAAAAGTCTTATTTTTTAATATCTCATTAACCTAAATAAAAAAAACGAGATAATCAAATAAAAATGGGGGAAAAAAAAGAGCAGAAGAATATTTCAAAAATTTCTTTTTTTAATCACCAAAAACCCTAATAAATTAAATCTATTTAATTAACTTCTTACATCCTGCTTCATAAAGATATTTACTCGTATATAATGACAACATATTTCTTTTGGATCTTTCTGTAATTTAAAATTAGGTTTACGCTAGTTATTTGTTTGTATAGTAATGTTGTTCCACAAAAGCATCAATAAAATAACATTATATGAGGTTGGTCCGGAACTGTGTAACCATTTTCACTACAGAATATAAAACATTTTCAAAAACTCATTTTCGCGCACAGCTTTCAATAATTTTGAGCTAAATGACTAAAGGGGAAGGGAGCTAGTAAATGGGCACCCACCGCTAACTCTTGGGCTATTAGAAGAGTGGGATTTGACCGTACCTCTAGTAGAGTTCTTACAGCTTCAAAGTGTATAACGCGTTTTTACGAAAAAAAGGACGCGGTTCATGAATCTTTGGGCTCACAGTCCAGACGTGATAACCACCATGACACATCTGGCTCTCTACTTTCATAATTTCAGTATAGTTAGTTGATCGTGATAGCTTAGAAAACGTTGTAGTTCTTCCACACATACTCTACATGTTTTAGCTTCTTTTTAAATATAGAATCTTAAGTATACTTCAAACACGAAACATATCTTAATAGTTGTTATTATTATTTTCAAAATTTCTAAAATAATTCAAGTATATAATGAAGTATTTAACAGCATATTTTAAAATATGCGGTATCAAAATTATAATTGAATCTATATATGTATTTCTTATTTATAGCTTTTGTATGTTTGTAATTAAGCATAAAGCTAAACAATGGGCTATCTGGGCTCTGCCCACCACGGGTATCGAAACTGGTATCCGCAGACATAGCGCTGTGCCACTGGGGGACCTTATTTATAGCAAAGCTACTAAGGCTATATAAGCTCACGATCCTATGTTTTTAATTACTGACCAGAGGTAAGGCAGATAATCAGCAGCACTTTACCACCCACCATTCACACTAAGGGACTGACTGTCAATCTTATAACGCACCTACGGCTTAAACTGTAGTGAAATCCAAAATTATAAATATAAATTTGTTTTTAAGAAAACGCCATTTTGAATACTCTATTTCTATTTCTACATATTACAAAATGTAAGTTCTATTAATATTTCTTCACTTACGTCGTCTTTTTTCTGCCAACAGAAATAATCAGAAGATAATTTACACCAGCAATCCCTATGAGAATTTCTTATTCCACCCTTGACTGTAAGTACCAAGTTTCCTTCACATATGTCCTGGAAATATCGTCATAGAAACGTTTTTACTGGTGAAACGTTGAATATCCAGATAAACCATTGATGGGTATAAAGAATAGGAATAACAGAATAATTTTAATGTTCTTCTGATTCGTTCAACTAGGCAAACTAATGGCATCAAACGTATAATTAATCTCAGCTTTGTCTTCTAATAGGAAAGAACAATTATATTGTTTTATTTGGAAATGTTTACCACTTTTTTAAACAAGTATTTAGGTTTTAAAGTCAAACTGTAAGATACTTTTAAAACAATATAGATTACAGTTCTTTTTATGTGGTTATGTGTGTAGATCTAGTTATTTTAATAGAAAATTAAAACTTTAAACTTTTTTTTGCTTCTTTCTATAAGGTATAAACGATCGTGATTTTTCTTATGTATTATGTTGATGTATTTATCCTTTTAAGTCTTAACACATACCTTCGTTTGTGGTTCAGAGATTTCCTCTACTGATGTTAGAATGATTTCCTTGGCCCTTATCTTGCTTCTGGGTCTGCAATGTCATATATGTTTGTGGATAGAAAAATTCAAAATATCGTTGGAAAAACACACCTGATCTATTCTAAGCCCTAATAAAACTAATTAAATAATAAAAATAGCAGACGATTATCCTAAGAATGTTGTTTTTAAAGAAGGCCGTTTGTTTGATTTAAAACTTAAAATGGAAGGGTATATTTGGTGGGTATTCTACTCTCCTGTCAACCTTTCAAATGACTCAAAAAAAAGGATCTGTCAATGCTTCAAACTCAATCAGAATCAGACTGACGAAAACTATGAGTAGAAAAATAGTTAACTTTGTTTATTTTTATATATCAAAGCCTGTTGGGTCCGCCGCGGTGAATCGAGCCCCGGAATTTAGCGTTGTAAGTTCATAGACATGCCACTGTCCCATCGGGGGCAACTGGTTAAGTACACCAGCGTTAGGTTTAGTAAAAGGAATTCATGTCTGAATTGATTCACCCAACAATAAATACCCTCAAAATCACATTTTCCTTTATAGTCGTCATGTCTGAATTGATTCACCCAACAATCAATACCCTCAAAATCACATTTTCCTTTATAGTCGTCATGTCTGAATTGATTCGCCCAACAATCAATACCCTCAAAATCACATTTTTCTTTATACACGTCATGTCTGAATTGATTCGCCCAACAATCAATACCCTCAAAATCACATTTTCCTTTATATACGTCATGTCTGAATTGATTCACCCAACAATCAATACCCTCAAAATCACATTTTCCTTTATATACGTCATGTCTGAATTGATTCACCCAACAATCAATACCCTCAAAATCACATTTTCCTTTATACACGTCATGTCTGAATTGATTCGCCCAACAATCAATACCCTCAAAATCACATTTTTCTTTATACACGTATATCCATTATAGTAGTCGGAAGACTTGTTTGCAGTCAGTACATCTTTATCAAAATATACGTTATCTTGAGAAAAATTAAATACAGATGTGGATCTTACTTTATCCCACCCTTGAAAGGGACTAAACTCAGCAATATCAAGACCAGGTGGTACTTTCAATGGCAGCGCTTTCCATCATGAGGTCATAGGGCAGACAGACCTAGAAATTTGATCCTTACAAAAAAAGCCACTGACCGACTTGACTTTCTTCTCTAGACACACACAGAAATAATAACAAATATGACTGAACTCTTTATATGCACATATATTCTCTAAACATTGAGGTTGAAAGTTGGTTATAAAATATGACAAATAACCAGTCAACAGACTAACCAACAAAACCCCCTCCAAATCTGAACCTGTTAAGGAAGAGTTATGTTGAAAATATAAACTAAAGACACCCCAACGTTAAAAATTTACAATAATTAATTAAAAACGGTGTCAGGATCGTTGTACAATTTCACATAAACATATAGAGTTTTCTAACGAGTATGGTTCCGTTTTATGATAATTTAATGTAAATTTTTATCATTGAAGAGTTTTTAGTATATTTAATTTATGTACAAGTACCATCTCTTGCCATATTCGTGTTAAGTTTATCTTTCATTGAGAATATTCAAAGTTTTAAGTTAAGTATTTCGAATAATAAAACCAATAATTACCTGTCTTTAATAAAGTCTGGATGCCTGACGTTATGGAAAACCATTTCTGCATTAATGTGCCTGATACACTGATTCTAAATCCATAAAATTGTTGATTAATTTGATGAAATAGTAATTATGTTCATTAAACTAAAAACTAGACGGGAATAGACATTAGCACAAATATATAATTCATATTGTTTATAATGTTACAATAAAACATAAAAACGTGTGTAATAAATACATTGTACATGACTACATAAATATGACAACTTATACAATTTAAACGATATAACACGTCGATAACTTAGAAATAAACAAAATGTAATAAATAACGTACTGATAAATAAACAGTAAATAAACATATTTTGTAAGTCACGGGATGAAAGAAGTTAACAGATTTAGGAGAAATCCTTGTTTTAATCTATTGTTCTGTATAAAATACATGATATGATTACATTTCTGTACTTATAGAGCTTGCAATAATCACAAATACACATAACACAATCAGTCATTTATTGATATATATATATATATACATATATGTAGTGCTCAGCCAAAATTTTGTGTTAATATATATGTTTTACTGAAGCCGTTTTATAAAGAAGTGTATTATACCATTCCTTCACAATGGAAGATTTCTAAGTGAGAAAAGAGTAAACAAATATTATTCGCTTTTGTAGTGTTTCTAACGAAAACTGTGTGGGAGTTATTTAGGTTATATATGGTAGCGTGATAACTAGTGCAATATACGTTGTAATAACCCAGAAACTCGCTATATGCACGATAAAATAATATAGTTGGAACATGAATACCCTGTAAACCAATAAATTTCACATGGTAATACTTCGACGATAATGGTGAATTTATTAGTTTATAAGTAACGAGTAAAAAAGGAGGCTAAAACACATAAACAATGCTAGCATTCGCCTTTAGGTAGTTACCTTAGTTTGTTCTTCTTGTTCCTTAATACGTGTGCTTACCCGGAACACAACCTCGTTTTTCAGACGTGGATAGCGTTGTAACTGGAGAAAAATAAGGGGTAAATAGAATAATGTATAATAAAACAATTATTCTACAATACAACATTATTTGAATGCAGTTGACATTAGTGTACAGAGGAAGGTTTGGTATATTTGTGTGACACGTATGTATCATGACATTTTTGATATTTGAGTTTGATTCGTATTTCTGGTATATTTCCTTTAATTTAGACTTTCTTCTGCAGATAAATCTAAGTAAATATGTAGAAATAACCTTTGAAATATTTAGAGAACTGTTTATAGAACCAATTTATAAACTTAACCATATCTAGTACAGTTTGGAGAGCGTCATATGTAGATTTTTTGTAAGTGAACCATGAGTATCTGTTGTTCTGTTGTAATGATGAGTTTTAGTATCACCATGACAATATATATATAGCTCTAAAAATGTATCATAGGTTAGAAACCACAGGAAGGTCAGGAGTTTATTTCATTTCCGAGAGGTTAAGGCTTTTTTTTTAATGTACATACAGCACATAATTTTCTTGTGAAAAGTCAAAGTCATTGCTCTTCATAGAGCAATAACCTACATGATAACATGAAAGTAAACGAGACTTTAAGGATTAGAATAACTGGCTAAGTTTCAACTTCTGGTTTAGGAATATGTTAAATGAAAAAATGATTACTATACAGGTGTTATTACAAGAACGAATTCTAAAAGCTAACTATGACACTCGTTATAAATGAGCAATCCCCTTTGAATACTTTAAAATGGCTGAGTAGTGATAGTGGTAATGTTACAAATGCACAACTAATTGTTTAAGCTAAATATTGTTAAAACCCCATAGGTGACGAAAATATCAAAATTAAATAATAGGTTTAACAATCGCCAATTTTTTATATATTTTTATTTAAAGAAGAATGATGTTTCGAGCTAGCTCTCTTCGTCAGATCATAGAGTTTACAACAAAGGCGCATGCGCAGAATTCAAAGAACTTGCGTGCTTAGTATTTGGATTGTTGAGAGTGAAAATTCTAAGCAAAATTACATCTATTACATAAAAATTACAAGACATGAAAAGATAAGTAGATAGCAATTAAAATGTAAACAACAAATGGAAAAATAGAAAAATAAAGGAAAGAAAAGCGTTCATTTAAACCAGATGGCTGTAGGGTCCCCAGATTGTAGATTAAGCTCCTTTTTAGTAGTTCTCTTTTGTGAATGTTTGTTGAAGCACTAATAAGTCCAAGAATCAGAAAGTCTTCAACTATATAGTTGTTCATGGTGAAATGTTTGCCTATAGGTGTACCCTGGTTCTGCAGTTTAATATGGTTTAGACGTTACCATGCTCGATCACCGAGTCGGTGGTCTGTTTGTCCAATGTATAAACTATAGCATATTTTACAAATTATACAGTAAATGATAAATTCAGTGGTACATGTAAAGAATTGTCTTATGTCGAAAGTTGTGTTCTTTCCTCGTATGTGTATAGTGCTGTTTATATGTGGACAGGTGACACACCTGTTTCGTTTATATGTGTGAGTGTCTGGAGTAGCATCTTGTTTTTGTTTAAGGTTACTGTGCAGCGGGATTTTTTTCATGTTTGTAAGAAATAATGGGTGGGACCTTGAAAAGAGATTTAGGTGTAGGGGCTTCAGTAAGTTACTGTGTAACTGTTTATTATAATATCTTTGATATTCTTGTTGGTCTGGTGGTATGTTAGCACAAGTGGAATACGATCGGTGTGTTCTCTCTTGGTAGGGTTGAGTGTTTGCTCCTGGGTATATGAACTAGCTTTGGTGACTGAATCGTGGATGTGAGAATCAGGATAGTGTCTTTTAGGAAAAAAAGTTTTAATATCTTTGGATTTAGATTTATAATCGTTATCATCACTACTTAGTTTTCGTAGTCGTAGAAACTGTGAGTAAGTTATTGACTTTTTGATACTGTACGGGTGGAAAGATTCGAGATGTAGGTACGTGTGTGAATGTGTTTATTTGAACTGTATACTAGTGATCAGATGGTCGTCTTGTATGTATATGTTAATGTAGGTACGTGTGTGAATGTGTTTCATGTATACTAGTGATCAGATGGTCGTCTTGTATGTATATGTTAATGTAGGTACGTGTGTGAATGTGTTTCATGTATACTAGTGATCAGATGGTCGTCTTGTATGTATATGTTAATGTAGGTACGTGTGTGAATGTGTTTCATGTATACTAGTGGCCAGGTGGTTTTCCTGTATTTATATGTTAATGTCGAGAAAGGGGAGTGTTATGTCGGATATTTCCCAAGCAAATTCCAAAGAAGGGTGGAATGAGGAAACAAAGTCAAATTTATGTAAGAGATGTAATTTTGTACAGAAATTTCACGCTCAACATTCCAAATACTACGCAAGCAATTTCTTTGAACTCTGCGCATGCACTTTTGTTATAAGCTGTATGATCTGACGAAAAGCTCTAGCTCGAAACTTCATAATTCTTTAAATAAAAACATAAGAAAAGCGATATCTTTGTTGCCTATGCGGTTTTGACTATATAATTATTTTATGAAAACGTACTTAAGCTCAACTATGACCTAAGAGAGGTTATTTTCACTTGCATTTATAAACATTGAAAGAAGTCTTGCAAATAAAATGACATGGACAGCATGATGGATAAGTTTAGTCGTTCAAATGACAGGAACTCGTATTTTTACTAGGGAAGTATACGTCACTAGTTCTAAAAGTACTAAATTAACTTTTGAAATTATTTTACATTCCGATACTTGTGTATGATTATGATATTTTTACATGCTTTATTTTGTACATATAATCTTTGGTAAATGTAAAATATTTCGATTTAAAAGAAGATAAGTTACTTTTTCCCTCACCTTTTAAATGATTTTTTTTTTCGGGCAAATAATTTTCTCCCTCCACCCGTTAGAAAGTCTTACATACACCTATGCTTAGAACTTCACAGAAACATAACGTACATTCTGTCATTGTTTTCTCCTGAACCAATGATTAGTTCAAGTTTGATGTTGTTGAATGTTATGTTATGACATTTATATACACCTGGAAAAAAGTTAAGCACCCCCAAATATTTT